TATGAATTTAATTCATTGTAGCTACTAGCACATAGATTGAGAAAATAAATTATGTTTCGGTGAAATAATTATTGCAAATAATTATACTTAAAACTGTTCTATGCTGCTATGTCTTGTATTTTCTTAAGCCTTTTGATCATTTACAGTTTTGATTATATATAATTTATTCTTCCCCACCCACCCAAGTTTTGTGAAATGGTTTCAACCCCAGAGATGAGTCGTTGGGCAGGCCCTATCATAGATGTTCTTTTGGATTATGTGGGCAATGTGCAACTTTGTTCCCGGTTGAAGGAACAAATTGACAGTTATGAAGATTGGTCCAACATTAAAGTCAAAGCAGGTTAGTTGCAATGTGGGCTCACGCTGTTGTTATTCAAGAATAATAGAATACACTAGTAATATTTTGTAATGCAACTGTTACTATTAAATGCAGTGGCATTTTTATATGTGAATGATTGCCAACTTATAAAAGTTAACTATATAGGAGAAAATATTCAAGCCTCTAAGATATGTTGAACGTTAATTCAATGACTCCCAAGAATTATACTGTATAATATATAGTCTGATTGTCAGCAGATACCACCTAATGATTTGTTCAAATTACTTCATTAAAATAGGCATAAGGGTGTTTAGGAGGTTCTTAAGAAGAGATTGGACAACCATTTGTCTGAAATGGTACAGCATCTCCTGCTTGAGCCAGGGGTTGGACTAGAAGACCTCCAAGGTCCCTTTCAAATGTTATTCTGTTAATCTGTTGTTCTGTTAAGATCTGAATATTATCTTACTAACTTGAGATATGCATACATTTTAACCATTCATATTTAGTTACTTTATTTAAAAATCCCTATTTTTTTAAAGTATGTTGGTGGTACAGTGCCTTTGAAATATATATTCAAATTTTTATGAAAAAATATTAGCTCATAGAGAATTATTGTAGGCCAAAAGTAGTATAAACATAACATGCTACTTGCTTGTTTACTTATTTACTTGACAATATTCTTTTCATTTCCAGAGCCACCAAGGCCACTTGCACACCTTTGTCGAATCAAAATTCGAATTGTGATTGAAAAAAACCGTCTTTCACTTATTGACACTTTACCTTTGCCAAGAAGACTAATTCGCTATTTACAATATGATTCTACCCAGTGATCTCAGGTGAACCTGACAGTCAACCATTATACGGAGTGATAATCATATGTATTATAGAGCGAGCTGCCTTGATGGAAACAGACTGATATGATGGAACAGAAAACTTGTTTTGGTATATAAGAAGAAAAATAAGGATTCCTGCAAGTTAAATCTCAGAACAAATGCAACAGCATTTAGAGTATGAGAAAGAGCTGAAAAAATGAGAATAAAGCACTCAGCAAATAGTGAAAGGGATATTATGCTATCTTGCAAGGAAAAACACTCTCAGTAGCTCAATATTTAGTATAAAATGCAGGCAGGGTAAAATGTAGATTGTAATCTACCAATAAATCTCCAGGTGATCTGCATGTCACCAAGAACTTCCAAGTCTCCCTGGTTTAACAATGGTGACAGAAAACCTTTTCCCTCCTTCATTAAACTGCTAAAATAAATGGAAGAAAATAGGAGGATTTTATGATATGAAAGAACATAAGCACAAACTCCAGTTCTAATACCAAAAAGAAATTCCTGATCTGGGCATGTGTCCAGTAGTTCTAAATCTGCCTTCTTAAGCTGTTGTTTTGTACTTGATTCTGGTTGATGGACCTCACAATTCTAGTGAAAAATAAATACACATTGAAAGCCTAAATTGTTTATAACCAGATATAAGGAAGAGGTAAAAAAGTTGTATCTCTCCATATAGGCAATGAATTATGCAGATGATCACACAGAAATCATTCATAGTGACATCAATCAATTCTTTTTTGGTTGCAGCAATTATAAATATTGCTGCCAATTGTATAATATATTGGATTTTGTATCTGTTGACGTAATTGTTAACAGGCATTAACAAGTTAACTCATTCATATGGATAACAAATGTATTTTGTGAATAGTCATGTTGGAAAACCATCTTGATGCAATGCAAAGATAAAAAGAAGTCCAATAATGGTTAGATCAGCATAATATTTCAGTTTTGGGGTTGTATTTTATTTTACTTCAGTTTGCTGAATTGCCCTGTTCAGCTGTTCTATTCTATATCATTATAGGGTCATGTTTTCCCATCTAATTTAACATATATTCACCTTTTATTCTTATTTATAAAAACATTTAACATTATTTTCTTGTTCCTGGTAAAGCAATTTTGCAAATACTAGACTTCAAGAAATGAAAGATATTGAAGAATTTAACTTACAGGAAATAAGAACAGAACATTTAACTCAGATGTATAGATCTGTATCATATTATATAGATACCGGTATATGTACATACATTAGTTATGAGGATTAATGTCACTGAAACTCATGGTATTTAACATTATTTTAGCAGCATTGAAGGGGACAGTAGATTCAAATCCTATGTTGTTTCAGAAAGACTTCAGGAGAAAATTCTTGATCTGCTATTGATGAAAAACAATAGTGAGTTGCATCATTGAGAAGTTAGGTTAATTTCAGAATAAATAATGTAGCTTAACACGGTTATGAATTGAGAATCCTATTGCTTAATTAGATTATGTCTAATAACTTAGGCTTTCATTAGAATAGTCTTAATGACCAATGATCTGTATGTAAGCAATGACTTAGCAGCACTATAGTTTTTTAAATAAAACTCTGGTTTGGTGGCCTTGTATACTTTTAGGGAAATAATTTAGTGGCATTGAGTTATTAGAAGAAAAATGTATCCTCATGGATGTTGTATTGTAGATACCTTAAATTGACATCCTCTTAACACTTAATACTTCCATGAGAAAGTATTCATCTTTCTTATTCAGATCATCTTTATGGGTCTCTGAAGTATATATAAAAAGTGCTTCAATTGATATAATTTATGTTTGCTGTGTAAGTGTAAGAAGCTTAACGATACTGCATCTAAGTTAATTCAAACAGATTTAAGCAAGTTCATTGTATGCATTTCAAGAGTGCTTTGCAGAAATGTCTGAAATAAACTGTAGGACACCTTGAAGATATATATAACTGGCTTAATATTCACAATATTGCAATTCTGTAAACAACTTTTTTTGGAAAAAAAACCTTTGAATTGTTTTAATATGACATGATTGAGGATAGCACCAATTAAAAAAATATACCATTTCATATTTTCTACAAGCTGAGAAATCTAGTTGGTTTTAGGAAATGTTCACATATCCAATATATTGAAGAAAAGGAAGCATTAAGAAAGACTTCCTAGTTTTTCTCATTATACACACACGGATAAATTGTCAATTTGAATTCCTCAATCATATAACCAGGATTAACTTCAATGGATGCCATAGAATGAGGAGGAAATTTTCCACTAAATGTCCCTTTGAGAGTCATCCTTTCACTTTATTAATTCTTGTCATTAAAAATATATATTTTACATTTATTTACACATTCTGCATGCTACCTCTCTTAATCATTTCACCTAAGGTAATAAATATTTGTACAGAAAGATTTTCAAGAAATCTGCTTGGCTAGGTTTACATAGTTCTATTAGCTGAATAAAGCCTTAACACTGGTTTAGCATATGTAAAATAATATAAATATTATTCTATATACTAGCCTGCTCCAGGGAAATACAAGTATAATGGTAGACAAGTAGCTTTCTACTGCTCCAGTGATTTTGTGGTTTTTTTAAAAAAAATTCACTAGTTATCAAAACTGTACAAATTCTGTTGTTTTATACAAGTACAAAATACTATTGTAAATCTTAAAGTTAAGAATATTTAGGACTTTAAAATAAGCTTCATAGTTCCATGCTTTACCTGATAGTGTTGAAGACAGAAAGAACATGTTATTATGCTCTATAATATTCAAAGAAGATTTTAGGATTTTTGCAAACTGTTCTATTAACTTTATCTGTTTGATCTATTATTTTATAAATGTGTGCCTAACAAGACTGCAATGTAGTTTTGAGATTTTTGTTATGGTAACAATAGATTTTTTTAATAAAGTGGAGATTAAAGCGGGAGGGATCAGTGTACTAATATTTTAAAAGCACCGCTTTTTAGGTGTTGTTGTTTGCATTAAAATTAAGTAAAATTAATTGCACTGTGTTTTTACTGTTAAGACATTTCTGAAAGGAGCACACACATCATATATATGTATGTTAAACGAAATACATGTAGTAGGAGGGGGAGAGTCTAGATAAATTTGGCCTGTAAAAGGTTAATGCAATATAATCAATCAGACCCCTGCACTGGAAACTGCATTTCCAGGTACATTTGGCTACCATGTTTCTCTAATTCTAATTTATAAATATGTTCAATTATATATTTATCTGATATTGTGTACATGTTGTACATTCATAGACTGCTACATAGGTTGCCTTCTCTAGTGATTTTGTAAAACATTGTGTTTGCAGAACTGATTCTTCTGTTACTGTGAGAAGGAAAGTTCCTAGAGTAAATAGGGATATTGAAATAAGAACAGGTGTATGTGTATACTGACATCCCTCTCCTTGATGGATCAAATAATATTTCAGATATGTAGCAAATTTAAGCAGACATCAGATGCCAGAATCCCAATCAATGATACAGTATGGAATATGTCTCCTGGGATATCTCTTCCATTTTCCACACACAGAACGTGGCACTGAAATGTAAGCCTTCATAAGTTCTGGTTTTACCGGCATATATGCCCACATTGAAAGCCTGAAAGAAAGTGATCCTTTTCTTAGAGTTAATTAAAATGTCATTGTCTAAGTCGCATAATATCATTTTCACTTATCACAAATGATCAAGAGAGACTGTTTGAACAATACACTTACTTTCATAAAAAGGGCAAAAAGAAAAATTTAAGAGTTTAGTATCTTTACAATTGTTTTCATTTTAAAATTTCTGAAGGCATATTATTTGATACATGTGCAGTCATAGAGAGAGAGAGAGAGACCATTGAAGGTATAATTCTTTGTAAATAGAACAGTACAAACCTATGTAGGGGAGAATTTCTTGTAAACAGAACATCTAATGATGAAATGATTTGTAAAAGCCACACTACAGCTGTTCTTATTCTATATAGTAAGTACAATATATGAAGTTCTTGTTAATTTCTTTATACTTTAGGTTTGGGCACACTACAGCACTCCTCATTTAGTGACTGCCTCATACAGTGACTGCAGTTACAACAGCGATAAAAAGGTAATTTTGTGATCAATCCCCATGTTTATATGAGCTTCCTAGATCTATAAAGCAAAGGAAGCTCAAGTAAAATCTGTAGTCCCTACTGTACTTGCTAAACAAGGACTAGTGGAGGCAGCACAGTTGTTAGAATGCAATACTGCGGGCTAATTCTGCTGACTGCTGACTGCCAACAATTCAGCAGTTCAGTTCTTACCAGCTCATCCTTCTGAGGTCAGTAAAATGAGGACCCAGATCGTTGGGGGCAATATGCTGACTTTGCAAACCACTTAGAGCAGGGCCCCAAAACTTTTGGGCACCAGGGGTTGGTTCTGTAGAGTTTTTTTTCTGCAGACTGGAGGGGTGTGGTTTTGTGTGCTGCCTGCATCCCATGTATGGGGCTTCACTTGTTTGCACAGCCCGTTTTTTTGGAATCCCTCAGACCAGTGCCAATCTGTGGACAAGGTGTTGGGGACCCCTGACTTAGAGAGGGCTGTAAAAAAACTATGAAGCAGTATATAAGTCTGAGGGCTATTGCTATTGCTACCTGTATATGGTCTGATTTATATTTGGTTTGCTACAATCTCCATTAAGAATAATTTCTTACAGATAAATCTAAACTTTTCAATTGCAACATCATATGGCATTGTTCCAATGGGAGAACTCTGGAGTGTAGAGAATACATACAACAAGCAATAAAGAAATTAACCCTGACATAATCAAGTTGCTAAAAAGAGAATTTTGAAAGGCATTATAATAATCAAACATTGGAAATTTATGCTGAAAAATAAATAGGGATACTGTATCCCTATTTGAAAAATAGGGATACTGTATAAATGGTGGCCATTTTCTCTAAATGTCATTCCATATTAATGAAATGAACAACTCAGTGGGGAAATAATCAGAATACAGGTCAAGGTATTAGATGCCTCAACTCTTGTGCAATAGAGCTATTAAAATTACAAAAAAAAAGCTAATTCAAGCCATAGGACATGTCCTTTTTATACTGAAGGAACTGGGAGCCTCTAATGCCTTAGTATTCAAATGCATCTTTTCTTTAAACAAAGCTATATAAATTCCTTTAAAAATATCATTTGAAAAGAACAAAACCTCACTTTTGTAAGATATCTGCATTTCATTTACTTTCAATATTTCCAAGTCCAATTCACTTTTGGTTAAGATCCATTTCATATCATTGAATTTGCAGCTCAAACAAAGTTGTAACATATAGTTGGAAACTTATTAGTAGCTTAGTTTATTGGTCTCTTGCCAGTTCATGCAAATGGTATTTTCAAAAGAAAGATAATTGTAATAGCTGAATCACAAGTGAAATATCTGAAGTGTAAAGTAGCTTTCATAATAGCGTTTATTCATAATAGCATTTATCCCCATTTCTCAAAGGACAATTGTATGGAAGTTTTATTGGTTCATCTAAATTTGCTTACTGTAACTGGTCTAGGAGTTCAGTCAGTACATTTCTAATACCTTCTATCTAGAGCACTTTGATTTAGAAATTAAGGAAATAAACTTAAGTTTTTGTTACATACAAATCTTTTTCATATTGTCAGGAGTATCCTTGTCATAGAAAAAAATTCCCTATTGTTCATTCTGTACCACAAAAATGTATAAATAATAAAGTCATGATTTTCACCCTTATTATAAATGATTGTTTCACATACATGGGAAGAGAATAGTGTAAGGCTTCTTGCTTTTAAATGACCAAATTTCATAGAATCATTCAGCTAAAAACAACCAAGGAAATTTTTGCTAACAGAGCTTCCTATCCAGAATTAACAACAGATGGGCTATAGATTAAAAACATGGATGCATTTGCACAAGAGTAAAACAATTCTCTCCTTTCTTCCTAAAAAAATGACACTTTTCCACCTGAAGACATTTTAACAGTGGAGACTCAAAGGAAAAAAATGTATGGGATTTATTTTTGTTTGTTGTAACAATCTTGGTATTTACATATCAGGGGAGGAAAAACAGCATCCTTATTTACAGAAGTGTGCATTACATTTTCTTACATGACCTTTTTTTAGCAGTGCAGACAAGACAAACCCCTGCTCCTTGAATAATTTTATTATTCACAATTTGTTAATTCTTTCTTGCTAATTTGGGCAGGGGCAATCTACCCCCAAACTAAAGTGTGGTTTATTTTTAATTTTATTAATTAGTCTGCCACTCTTTTTTTATCCTCTTTCAAACAACTCAAGGGTTATATATTTTAAATCCAACACATGGATACTTTGCCTTCACAATATCTTTGCCAGGTAAATAGTTCGGAGATAATTGGCCCAAGGTCACCAAGAGAACATATCTTAGCAGGAGACCTGATACATCAACACTGGGTTGATTTCAACACCCTTTCACACTTTCCTGGCTTTTTTTTTTTAATTCCCTGATGATCCTCCAGAGCAGGGGGGCCTGAGATTAAAGAGCAGATCAGCTGTTTTTTTTTTTTTTCAAGCTCTGGAAGTAGCCTAAGGCACAGTTTCCAAATCAGCACTGTGAGCAACCTGATGATCGAGAAGTGAGGTCCTTGCAAGCTGAGGGGAGCTGCTACAGCTAAAGATAACTGAAGACGCTAAAGATGAGGGGCGGCGCGGAGGGCTTGGTGGGGATGGGCTTCCACACTACAGGCCGATACACTTTCTGCCCTGGCTGGCAGAAGGCCTCTCCCTCCGTCGGGGAAGGAGCATCTTTCCGCCACGAACCCAAAGCCGAGAAGGGGGCCGCGGGGGGCAGGGCGGCAGGCAGCGGGGGCGGGTAGACGCCGGGGGAGGCCTGTGGCCCGTGGTACTGAAATGGACAGCAGCCCCAGGTCCTGAGTCCCTTGAGGGCGGCCTCGGCCTCTGGTCTGCGCTGGGGGCTCTCGGGAACCGTCCCGGTGCCGCCGCCGTCGAGGCCTATGAT